AGAAAGTTATTTTCGTTTGTTATTCCGAAATGAACTCATGCTCGTGGTGGAAAACTTCACAAGCTAGAAGAAGTTAGCGGACAAGGACTCAGACCACCTGCTGTTAATATTCGGGAACGCTTTCTTTACATCTCCTCTCCTGGGTCTGCGGGGAGTTTTGAAAAGCAAGGCTGTTACTCTGTGAACGAAGGTGCATCTGACACAAGCCATGGCATTTTAAGATCTCCTACGCACGCCTAAGGTGACCCTGAACAAGGAAGACTGAAGAATGGACGCGGTTGAGTTATGGGGCTGGAGAAGACTGCGGCAAGTGTCCCGGGATGCCCAGGGGACAAACCCATCTGGCTTGCAACAAGTCCAGCCACAATGCTCCTCAGGAGCAAGGAGGGTGAGGCTTTGTCTCACACACTCTGCACGTGTCATTGGGAGAGACCAGTCCCCAGAGAAGGACATCGTGGCTGGAAAAGCAGCGTGCAAAGAAGAGGAAGCCCCTCAACCAGGGATTGCCCCAGCGGCTGCGCCAAAGTGTTCAAGCCAAGGAATCGCGGGGCGGGTGGTGCAGGGCCAGGGGGCACTTGGTCCTGTGACACAGAGGGTGGCGATGGCTGGACAGCGCCTAGCAACCAGCTAGAGCAGCGGTTCTCAACCTTCTTCCTGCCGCAGCCCTTCAATGCAGTTCCTCATGTGGTGGGGACCCCCCAACCATACAATTATTTTCGTTGCTACATCATCACTGTCATGTTGCTACTGTTATGAATTGGGCAACAACCCCCATGAAAGGGTTGTTCAGCCCCCAAAGGGGTTACGACCCACAGGTCCAGAACCGCTGATATAAAGGCACACCTGGCGATAAGATACTGCAGGTTGAGTTTCCAACCGGTGTGCCCCGTGAGCATCGCAGTGGGAGTTACCCGACACTTTGGTTTTTCTGTACAAGTTAGGGGGATGCTCTACTATATTCTGGGTGAACGGTAGTGGGGAAATGTGTTAAATCCTGTGAGCGGGAGCAACACGGGGTGCAGAGACACAGCGAGCACACGCCGCTGGGGGAAATGGTGCCAACGGGGGCTTGCCCGGCCTTCCCTTTGGAGCAGTGCCCTTTCTGTGGCGCGCAGTGAGGCCAAGCGCAACACCACGAGGTGTCCCTGTGGGTGCATGACCAGACTCACACGGCACGTGCTGTACGTGCCGCTGTGTGCACCCTGCAGTTTTGTTTTTAACTTGGCATCACACCCTGGTCGTTTTCTCGAGACAAAAATTTATGGTGAAAAAATCTGCTTGCCCAGGGGCATGTATGGCAGGATTTCTTTGTCTGTTCTCCTTTGCCGAAAATCAAGGTTTCTTCCGATTTTCTGTTACGACTCATGGTGCCAAAGAGAAGCCTCTGCATATATCTCTATCCTTCGACACATGTAGTCCCTTCCTTAGGGCAGAGTTCTCTCTGGGTCAGCATGCCTTAAACCTTTTCCTTTAAATGGTTACCAGTCATTTTAAGGCCCTGACCATGCAAATAACACCAGGAACACCCATAGACTCTATTTAAACCAAACCGAACTTAAATACATTCACTGTCATTAAGTTGATTCCAGTTCTATGTGCTTATTTTCCCTCTGAAATAACGAGAGTCACTTACATTGGCCCCTGCCCCTCGTCCTTTCACACTTGTAGGGTAATCTCTTTAAATGACCAATGTTGGGTTATCAGAATTCTTTAATGATGTTGAGACACAGGCCTGTTAAAAAGATATCACATATGTTTGGGGCCCACAGACCAAATCCTTTAGGATTTCTTCACTTGGAACATTCCTCTCTTATCTGTCTGTACATTCTGATCGGTCTTCAAAGGCCACGTCCATTGCTGCTCTCCAGAAATCCTTCCTGTGATTCTAGCCTCTGAGTTCCAGAACATTCCCCAGAGGCACCCTTAGCCCTGTCCTTCACAGAGAATGGAGACCGTGCTTGGACGGCTGGACACTTATTTGTATTTCTCTGTGTAGCTTCCTCGACTCACAACCAGATTTCAAACTACTGAGGCCAAGGATCATGTCTCACACTTCTTCCTACAGCTTGTTGGCTGCCCTGTGTGCGTGACAGCAGGATTGTGAAGAAGCAAGACTGCAAGAGAGCGTCTTTGAATTATGGCCTTGTGAAGAATAGGGGCTATCCCCCAGTCTGCCAGAAGAACTAAGAAGTCTGTCTTGGAAGAAGGAGAGCCAGAATGTTCCTCAGAGACAGGGATGGCGAAACTTTGTCTCATTTGCTTTGGACATGCCATCAAGAGGGACCAGTCCCTGGAGAAGGACATCATCCTTGGTAAAGTTGAGGATCGGCAACAAAGAGGAAGACCACCCCCCTGAGATAGCAGATCCAGAAGCTGAACAACGGCGCCAACAGCAACGACTGAGAGATGGCCCAGGAGGGACCAGGCCCATCTCGCAGCTGAAACTGGCCCCTCAGCAACTCTGCAGGAAAGAAGGCCCCCTGCCCCAGCAGTGTCCTCCCGGTCGTGGCTTTATAGACTGGTGTGACCTACGCCCGTGGCTTTATAGACTGGTGTGACCTACGCCCGTGGCTTTATAGACTGGTGTGACCTACGCCCGTGGCTTTATAGACTGGTGTGATCTACGCCCGTGGCTTTATAGACTGGTGTGATCTACGCCCGTGGCTTTATAGACTGGTGTGATCTACGCCGGAGAAAGGAAAAGATTCAGCCTGCACCCGCCCGCCTTCCCCCAAGAATCAAAAAGCGTGCACCATTGTCTATAATCCAGGATAAAGTATAGGTATCTGCCTTTTCCGGGGCAGAGATGTGGGAGCCAATTGGTGAGAGAG